ATCGGGGTCATCCAGAATTTTGTAGTGCGTTGTCTTCAGTATGTTGATGACACCCCACTCTATTTCTCCTTTTCATCTTCAGCAGGTTTGGCTGTGGATGCACAACACTGGTGCCTGTGTGTGCCAACGGAAGAGATGAGAGCTAACAAACTGCTTATGGGTGTTTATGCATAAGAATAATAATCAGGCAGTTGCTGCATAGGTTTACTGCATGCTCAAATGATCCACTGTGCTTTTGAATATGGGGCACAGGGGGCAAGAGGGCTGTCTGCCACAATGACGGTCACCGTCACACGTTCTGCTTGCACACATAGAGGAGAACTGCTGGGAAGATCTGCACAGGGCTCCAGTCTTCCATAGAGATGATTCTATGGGTTGGATGAGCTCTTTAAAAATAATGTTTATACTTACAGCTAATTCTGCACACACATACACCTTGGTTTAGTAGAATGCCTACTTTTTCAAGGCCGTGAAACTTCTTTCTGCCCAAGGGCTGAATTGAATTTTGGAGATGTTTTAGGCAATACATTCTAGTGGTAGGTGGGGCTGAAGGCCCCTAACAACAACAACAACAACAACAGTAATAATACCTTACTACTTTGCATTTATATCCTACCTTTTTTCCTTTTGTGACAACCCTTAAGAGGCTTATATCACTCGGCTTTATCTTTACAACAATAGCCCTGTGGGGTAGAATGGTTGAGAGTCTATGACTGTCCCAAAGTCATCCAAGCCAGAGAGCTTCATAGCTGAGTGCAGAGCAGACACCAGCTTTCTTGGGTGCCCAGTCCAAGACTCTAACCACCACACCACACTGGCCCAAAGCTCCTATTGCCAGTAAGCAAGCTGTAGGAGAGGTATCTCAGCCTGTCAGAACGTGGGGCAAATGCACAACAGCTGGGAAACTGCCAAACATCCAGGGAACAACGGGAGGCCTGCATGTGGACTCTGAGACTGAAGTTCTCCACCCTAGACTATGTTTCTTGCAAGCGTGGCACAATGCAGTTCCTAAGAGAGACTCAAAGAGGTATCTGTGCTGATCCCATCAGCAAATTGCACAAACTACGGAAAAGTACAAATAACTAGAAGCAAGGGGCTTTTGCTTTTGTTATTCTAATCTAATGGAACTATGAGCATGTTGTTTGCTGAGCTGTGGAATATATTACCATAAGGCTTATTAGAAATGGGCCCATGATTTAATTTGAGCTACTTGTATTAGACACTAGGCAGATGGAACCACAGTGCTGACCTTCTAAGGAAGCTTGTTTCAATAAAATGGTTTAAACATGAGTGCAGCAACAATACACTTTTTCAGTTCCAACACAGACAGGGTTTAGATTTTTCTCAGCATTGCTGCTCCTAATTTGAATTGGTTCTAAGAAATGAACAGCTCCATAAAGAAGGAGCCAAGCCTTTTCACGAAGCCAACAGCGAACTACCATTGTTTTCCTTTAAGGGTGGATGGGTGGGAAACGGGACCCTTAGAGTTCCTAAACGTATTTGTTTTAAGTTCTATTTTTAAAATTAGTTTACATGTCTCCTTCTGGCACACATTAGTTATTTTCCTTATTATTTATGTATCCTGTCCTTCTTTAAGAAGCTAAAAAACAAAACCAAACAAAACACCTCTGGTTTTTGGAACAATCCTGTGGGAGAGATTAGGGATCAGACCTGAGTGGCCCAATGTTACCTCATACAGAGTTATAGTGAAGCCCAGGATTTATGCTTGTTACACCCAAACATCTCTGAGGACAGTTTGGTGAAAAGTCTGCCACAGCACAAGAACAGCATTGCACAAGTCGTATACAAGTAAACATTATGTGCAAACATCTCAGCTTACACTCATCTGCACAACAGATGTTAGATATTAGATGGTTAGATATTGTTTCTGAGATGGTTGACTCAGGGTGACTCAGGTATTTGTTGACTAGAGAGATGCTAAAACTCCAGGCAGGAAAACAGTACACCCAGGAGATGCTACAGGAATTCCATGAGAAGCTGCCCTCTGTGTGTTATCCTAAGGAACAGAAGCAGAGAAAGCAGTATTCACTTTTTCAGACGGGTATTTGGGTTAGTCTGTTTCAGCTAAAACAACAAAAGGAATTATCACAACTAACAAATTTATTCCAGCATAAGCTTTTGTGGATGCTGTCCACTTGATTAGGTGCAGCTGACAATGTGGACAGTGCCCATGACAAGTTATGCTGGGATAAAAATGTTAATATTTTAAGGTGTCATATTACTGACTTCTGTGCCTTTTCTGAATGGTTGGTTTTCACAGGCAGATCTTGCCTGCAGGAGTGCGGGGAACTTCTGGTCCAGTTAGTGGATAGTTGCTTAAGGTGATGTAATGGAAAGTAGCACCAGTGGGGCAAGAAACCGTGGGATGGGGTGTGTTTGAATCCATCCTCCATGCATCTTGTCACATTTGGAAGACATGGAAAGCCACACTCTGTGTGGGCAATCAGTTAAATTGCACAGCCCATGCTTGGCGTACACAGGGGCAAGAAAAGGAAGCCACTTTTCCTGCTGATTATCTGATGTTTTATGCCATAAGCAGCATGAAATTTATCTCTTGCAATGCCTTCCTCCCTATGCTCCAGAATCGCATAGTAACTGTAAGCCCTCCAGTTACAGTGGGCTTTAGGAAGCAAGCTTTGTTCAGGAAGTCCCCCAGCTATGCTAGAAACTTCAAATTATCTATTTTCAACATGCCTGGTTTTTTGTTTGAACATGGACAGTATTCGAAGTATGTCCATGATGCCAGAGGTGCACTTGCTAGCTGTAGACACCCTCACCAGAGAAGAATTTCCACTGAACTTTTTGCCACTTCCATGTCATTCTTTTCGAGTGAGATGTTCCCACTCGTTACATTTCTGATCTCAGAAAGAAGCTGTGTATGGGCAGGGGGAGAGTGTGTGTCTCCGCAGATCTTCATCATCAAGCAACAATGTAAGAAGCTCATTTCCAAAACCAACTTATAAATAAACATATGCACTCTGTGGAAGCTTTTATTGGTGTAAAATGTGGTAGCGAGGCTGCTAAACCAGTGCACAGTATCAGCTCCGCATCACCCCAACGGTCAGTTGTTTCTAGGCTCCTGCAAGGTGTTGCTCTTCACCCTTAAAGCTCAACACAGCTTAATACTTGGCTGAGGGACTCCCTAGCTCCTTATAATGGGGCTTTCCTCTTGAGCTGTCATGTAGCGGTTTCCATCAATATTCTGTGGAACAACAAAGAGATTTCAGGAGGAACTTAATGAAACTTGTATTGTACATGCAGAGCTTATTTCCAGTTTCCTTCTTTATGCAAAGGGTTGATTTCATCTTACTTGGAGAACATGAAGACTCTGCTGGGGTGGATCAAAAGCATTTGGAGCCCAGCATTCAGTTTTCAACAGTACACAAATATCCCTAGGAGTTTCATAAGCAGGGCACGAAGACAGCGATTGTCGCCCACCCACACTGCCGTGTTTGCTCCCAACTGCCATGAACAGATGCATACCATCTCTGCACGTGGAGAGTTCCTTCTGTTATCATGCCCCGCGTTTATCTTTGTGGAAATGGCTCAGTTCTTTCAGACAGCCATCAAAAGCAATGACCCACAGTACGTAGCAGTGAAATCCCCAGGTGGATTATGCACATTGTGAAGCACTTCCTTGCACTTTAACCTGCAGAGTCTGCTTTCATAGGATGATGCAGGGTTTCAGAAATGTCTGTGTGAGAGATGTGGCTGAGTCCACATCTTGTATCGTCATGCAACGGCGAACTTTCCTTCCAGAAGCGCCCCATTTGCCAATCTCATTTGTCACACCCGACAATGAGTCAGCAGCACCTGCAAAAATGCTCAGTTGGGAACGTGCACTCACCCTAAGCCATTAAAGTCTCATCCCAAATAGACTATCACTGTGCAGGCCAAGGAGCTTAAAGAGATTTGGTTTTTTTCTTAACATGAGCTTATTACAAATACAGGCCACTTTCTACTCCATTTAGTTTCAGAGGGCTGAAAAAATGGTTTTAACTGAGGCAGGCAGAGAAAGTTGCTGTAAATGCTGGCCATGGTAAATACGAGTTCCTGTCTTAACACAAAGGGTACAACTAGCTACTCTCTTGCCAGGTGATGGAAGCGGCTTTTTCCGACCTCTGTAATGGCCTTAAAGGGAGTGAAATTCTATACATCTGAAATGGTACCACAGCATCTTCCTGACTCAGGCGGCTACCGTTGCGCTCTTTCTGGTCTAGTGCTCTTGCTACCAGAAATAAGGAACCTTGGTTAGGAAAAGGCAGCAGAGCACACAGACAGATGAGTAATGTAGGGGAAAGGGCAAGCAGGCAAAGGGTGAAATTGGTAGGGTTTTTGAAATTACTGTTGGAAGGCAGTGTGCACAATAAAGCAAGTCACCACCATGCTAGGAAAAAGACACACAGCAGTTTGAGCTTGGGGTCAACAGTCTGTCTCATTACTCAGGGCACAAAAATAGAGACTGACCTTGAGAAGAGCAGGGATTCTGCTGATTTCAAAGGCAAGGGTCATTTCATAATGCTGAGCGAGATAAATATCTGAATGGATCGAGCAGACATGCAGAAATGTTCTGAGAATCTGAACTTTGCTATTTTTGTTGATTTTTTAACCTAAGATCAAGACATAGGCAAATGTTTCAACGGTGGTTTCTTGGGGTTTTGTCAAGTGTTCTAAGTGTTCTATTCTGCCAGCCAGTGAATGAAGTCTACATCAAGACATAGTCTGAAAATGAAGTGCAAAGCTTATGAACTGTACCAGCTTTGGTGAAGGCTTGTTCTGGCACACCAAATCCATAGTAATATTGTGTGTCTTATACACCGATGCATAATGTTGCAAGGCTACCCCTCCTTACACAGGAATACACTCAGGCATATTCTCTTGGTGGGAATATGCAATGTTCTATACATTAGCAACCTGAGGTCGAAGAAAGGCAGAAGGAAGTGGCATTAAACTTCAAATGAACACACAATTCCAAGTGATTTTCTTTGTCCAATACCTTTATTTACAACTTTACAAGGGCAAAGTCTTGCAATCCAATTTGTTACCAAAAAGTACTTGACAGAAGATACTTTGGGTGTAAATGTCACTGGGTGCAATCCAGCAGCATTCAACTGTATGCATCTTGACCCTGCCTTTAGTAGCATGTGAATCGCACCCACTGTCTACATTGCAACTGAACTAGTGTAAACCAAAGCAGCTTATGCAGTCAGGCACAGAGTCCTAAATATCCACATAGATGATAATGCCGTTTTTCACCAGGTACACCGAAAATCCTTTTTTATATATACAAATAACTTGGGCACATCAGCCATGCTATCCTCTAAAAGTGTTTAGATCCAACATCTGTACAATTAGATAGCAAGAGATCAAGCTTCCTCAACTAGCCACATACACGCAGGTCCTGCCTAGACACTCTCTCATGAACAGGTAAAGGTTTTTATTTTATAAATAAGTCCATTAAATTCCACAAAAACTAAAAACAAATATAATATTCCAACTGGGAATAAACTTGTACATTATCTTGGAGGATTCCAACCCCCACCCCTCCAAAATCTTGTGGCAATAACACACACATGCACGCACACAAACATATATATATACACATATATATACTCTTTACATATACTGAAAACAAGATTTTGTTAGCTAGAATGGAAACCAGAAGACTCAGACTCTGTTGAAACAGAAGAATGACCTCCTCGTTTGCCTTTGGAAAGGATCTTAAGGCTTGATCCTCTGCTTACAGAGGTGAGAGTGTTTTGAGCTGATGTCTTGAACTTGGCTCCCAGAAAAGCATAAAGTATGGGATTCAGGCAGCAGTGGAAGAATGCTAGGGCTTCTGTAATGGAGATCCATTTGTGCACCACTGCCTCAAAGTTACAGCCATTCTTGATGAATCCAAGGAGGACAAAGGTGTCTATGCTGATGCCAATGTAGTATGGTAACCAGCAGGCAAAGAAGGCAACGATAAGGATGACAGTGGTCTTCAGAGCCTTACGTTTCTGATGGCCTTTTGAGTGTGACAGCTTAGAAATGATAATGCAATAGCAAGTTAGTATTATAAGACCAGGCAGGACTAGGCCTACCAATATATGCTGAAATCGGAAGGAAATCACCCAGTTGTGATCAGGGTAAAATCGCTGACACACGTATTTTCCACCAACTTCACTAGTCTCAGCAAAGATCATGTCAGGAACAGTCAAGAGTGCTGCTGGTAGCCAAACACCAAAGTAGACGATCCTTTCAGCCAACAGTTTCCTGGGTCTCTGGCTGTTGGTAGCATGCACAATTGCTAAGTACCGATCTAAGCTGATGAAGGCCAAGATCAGAACACTGCTGTACAGGTTGACAGTATAAATGATATGGACCATTTTGCACAAGACTCTTCCGAAGTACCAGCTTATCACAGCATCCACAGACCAGAAGGGCAAGGTGATGACAAACAGGAGATCAGCCACAGAGAGATGTAGCCTATATTTGTCAGTCATGCTCCTCAGCATCTTTTGGTAGCCCATGACCAGAATGACCAAGCCGTTGCCAATGATTCCCATCAAGAAAATGATGGAGAAGATTACAGGCAAGAAGATCCGGTTGAAATCAGCATTCTCCTCTTGCAAACACACTTCATGGTAGTTCCCATCATCACCAGAGCCTGTCTCGTCGGTAGTATTTTCGGACAGAAAAATAAAGAATCCAGAAGACAGCTGTAGTTGAACAATAAAAGAGAAGCGGTTAGAATATGGCAGTGAGCGGGGGCCCAAACCTAGAATATATTCACTGGCAGGTAAGAGTCAATGTTGTGTGGTGGATAGTGCACTGGATTTGGAAGACCTGGGTGCGTTCCATCTCTAAGAGCCCTCTGGTGACCCTAGGTCAGTAACGCTGTCTCCCTACTACTTTCCTTTAGAGAAATGTAAGTGCTGGAAATTATGCTCCGAGTGCATCTCTTGCATAATGGCCTTATGAGTCATAACAGAAATGAAGGGACCTCATACACTGTATGCTTTGTTATACCTTTAAATTATATCCAGGGAGGCTATGATTCTGCACTTAAAACCTCCAATTCTGCAACTATAACAATAATACAAAGGTGCACCTCCTTTTTGCAGAATGCCGTGTCTCTGTATTAAAAGTTCTAGGTCCTAATTTTAAAGATTAATGCTAAAGTTTTAACACTAGCAAGAAAACTTGGGATACACCAGATAGGGAGGCAGTGGGTGAAACAAATACATAAATAAAATTAGAACTTTTTGAAAAAATTGGTTTCAGAAATACTATCTCCACTTTCTAAAGGAGATTTAAAAATTAGGACTATACTTCATGGGTCTTTAGGAATAACATTCCAATGAGTGACATACATCTGCTTATCTTAGTGCATACATGATACGTATGCACTAGGGGAATCACTGCTTTCCCCTGTGTGTGCACGCAGGCTGTGGCAATGCCCTTGTGGTCTATAAGTGCTTCCTATATGAAAATGCTCTGTGTGTGTGTGTGTGTGGGGGAGCCATCATGTCTGAAGGACCAGAGCACAGGACCAAATGAGCAAAGGTTCTCTACCTCCACCTTGGTAACTCGAAGCTAAATTGCTATTATTCGGGATTTATAAAAGCTGTAAATGATGCCTTGTTTGTGGTATGGTAACAATCATGAAGACTCATCTGAATGTGACTGTAATCACACCTTGTTCATGGGCATTGGATTCCAACTCCAAAGATGCTACAGCTCCATAAGCAAACCATGAAACCATTCAGAGTACATTACTATACAGATTCTTGTAGCACTATGCTGTATATTTCTGCCCAACTCCGCTCATCCATTTATTGGGTTGAAAAGAAATTGCACCCAAAAATTGTGGGAATGGATGAGAATTTTGGAGAAAATTCTCGGGGTGCTGGGCTTCATGCTTCTTTAGTGTAAGGATGTGGTCAAGGGTTCCATGTGTGCTCTATTTCTATCCTTTTGTCCTCACTGGTTCTTCGGTCGTTTCAGCTCCTGAAGCGTCCTGCAGAAGACTTAGCCAGGTTGGCCTCCTTGGGACTTTCTAGTGCTGAGTGAAGATGTGAAATACAATCTGTTCTCTGTATTATTAAAAGTACTTTTAACAAGAACAACTCCACAAGGTGCTTCACTCAGCTTTCAGGAACTCAGCAGCACTGGAAAAACCCAAGGGAGAAAGTCCTAGCTGAGTCTTCTAGGAAGCTTCTCAGAAACTTCAGGCAGCCAGCGGGGCTTCAAGGACCACACTGGATAAAAAGGTCAAGTAACTGACACACTTCCTCCTCAGCCCACAACCATCCCCTTACAGTAAGTAAAACAATGAGGACCTGCACACCACCACCTCTCCCCAAATTTCGCAAAATCTCCACAGCAAAAGTAACAGAAAAACAACTGCCTCTTTCCCAGGGAAATTGCATGCGAAAGGACAGGTGTGGTTTCAGCGCAGGCCTAGTTTCATATTATACAGCCAGAAGGCGCCTATGAGAGTGGTTGTCAATAGTTTCTGGACAACACGGGGAAAGCCCCAAACTTCCCAAAGGGTTACAATGCACAAACAAGAACTGCAGAAAGCATAGATTTCAGCCCAGGAGAAGCTGGTGGCCAGAAAATGGGCTTCCTGAAGTGGGGAGCCCCCTCTTCTATGCCTAGCAGAGAAATGCAGTTCCTTGCTCCTCTCCTCCCCCAGCGGACTAATACTTTTTGGGGGGTGGCCTACCTCTTGTGGGTTGATTTGTAAGGCTGACATACAAGGTGGCATGTGGTCCACTAGGAGAAGAAATCCAAGAGTAGCAACAGGGTCCATAATACTTTTATTGGGAGCAACCAAAGCCCTAAGCAAGTTTTAGAGTTTATCAAAACACTTCATCAGGCTGGAAAGTAAACAAACAACAGCAACAACAGGAAGACATAAAAGACCACAATGTTGTTGGAGATTAAAAAGTCCAAGTCTGCAGAGTCTAACTGAAAGCAAAGACTTTCTCTTCCACAGGCAGGTGTTGCTTTGGTCTGTGTGTCAGAAGAAGGGAAGGAGATATTTCAACTATGCCCGCCAATAGAAATAGAAGAAAAAAGAGAAGCTGTATCTCAGGAAACCGCCAACCGTTTGGATGTTCAAACAACAGTGAAAAGCCTGGTGCAATAGGGTGTTGACATCTTCCTCACTTAAACTTTGCTTTCATTGTTAACTGAACTGGGAGCACTTGTACAGATGAGTTTGGAAGCCAATTCAAAATGGATAGCACTGATTTGGCCAAGAGTAGCCACTCCGGATCAAGCCAAAACTCTAGCATTGTCCAAAGGGAAACTCACAAGCAGGAGTCAGTCTGCAAGGTCTGTTCTCAATGGCAAGCAGCACCCTAGTCCGTATCTGCTTAAGTAGTTATATCTGCAACTTGCAGAAGTATGCTTGCAAAAACCAAGCGCATTCAGGAGATCTTGTTGGGGTTTGTAGAATCTTTGCTGGCCCTTGATCAAGTCCTAGCCACCTATTTGGAAAAAGTATCTATGTAGTACTCTGCTAGTAACTTTTTTTGACCCAACCTTTTAAGGTCCAACTGTAGATCCCATGGGATAGTGCATGTGTATGAATATTATTTCTTCTTTAAAAAGGGCTCCTTCCATTCTAGGAACAGGTAAAACTAGAAAGAACCCTTGCTGCATTATAATTACATTTCCCGTAAAGTTCTTCACTGTATGTTGCGTTTTCTATTAATGCAAGAAATGCAGGAGGAAAGGAAAGGCAAACTCACGAATGTCCAGTCTGATCTACTTCTTAGATCTGCCTCGACCCAAGGAACAAGGAAAAGTTCCGTGGTTTTGCTCGCGCTACTTAAAGTCTGCCAAATCCACTACAACATCACTCCATTAGCATTCCAGGAGGACTTTTTCGCACTAAAATGGATGTATGGGTTTCTTCGGCTCATCCCCAGCTCTCAAACCAAATCAAAGCGGCAACAGGTGTACAAGCACCCCAGTTATAGCGGCATTTATTTAAACTCACGCTGGTGTTTATTTACAAACCCTCCTTCCAAAACCTTCCCGGGGAGGTAAAACAAAAGACAAATACGGAGCGGGGGTGGGGGAAAGAGAAGCGGTCTACGAACAGGCGGTACTTTCTAGTAAACGCTTATGAGGCCCCGAGTAGCGTTTATTTCACTGCCACTGTCCCCCTGCCTCGGAAAGCTGCCTGGATTCCACGCTCGGCTCGCCTTGCACTTACAGCTTTTAAAAAGCTACTCGCAACCAAACTCTGCCGGCTTTTCTGCAAAGTTAAACCGCCTTCAAATGTGCGTGCAAGAGAAGAGGCTCCCGCTTACCAGGAGATACCCAAGATTTTTAAGGTGCAAACTGGATCTAGCGCTTTCGGGCGCGCGCGCTGCAATCGCTCAGCCAGCGCTGGAGCGAAACAGATTTGCTTGCAACGTGCCGGACGCCTCTTTTCCTCGCAGGAATGCCGCCTGGGCTATGAGCACGGCACGCACTTTCATTAGCTAAACAAACAAAAGCCACATGGCTGGGTGTGGGATTCTTCCCCAGGCTGGGATCTACAGGATCACGTTTAGTAGAGCAACTGCCGCCTGTAGAAACTTCCGAGCACACTGATGCATATGCACGCACGCACGCACGCACGCATTCATTCATTCGTCTGAAGCCCAGCGAGGCACTTACATCCATGCTCGAATCCATCGCTCCAGCACTCCCTCAGCTCCTGCCCGCTGCGGCCGCACGCAACAAAACCAAACAAAGTTTTCGCACCAACACGCCCCGCTCTCCTTTATAGACGCGCTCCCACCTTGGCGCTGTACCGCGACACCGCGGCGGCAGCGGCAGTGGGCGGCCCCGGCTCCTCCTCCTCTCATTCCCCTCCTAACCCTTCCCCCTCCCAAGTGGGGGGTGCCGGGGGTGGGTGGGTTTTCGGTTAAGGCTGGCTGGCTGCGTAACCGAGCGTGCGAAGGAGGCTGCTGGCGAGCACGCACCGAGAGCCACCCCGGAGGGTTCCGAGCGGCCAGCCGCGGGGCGGGACGTGGAGGAGCGGCCAAGCCCGAGGACGCGCAGGGGTGGAAGGAGGGGCAGTCGCCCCCGAGCACCAGCTCGCTTTGCTCGTGGAGCTCCAAGCTTCATGTGCGGGCAGGGTGCCGATTTCCTAAAATCCAGGGCCGCGGATGCCTGTGTGTGGTCATGCACAGGGTCGCAACACGTAACAGAGAGGGGAGCAAAACGGGATGAGACCCCAGGGGAAATAGTGGAGCAACGGAGAGGAGGAGGAAGCTGCTAAGCGTCGCTGTGCTGAGCTTTGGTCGGGTGCAGCTGGAACTCAGTGGGTCCGGCCTGTGCAGAAGCACCCCAGTCCAACTGCAGGCATTGCCAAATAGGGCCGACAAAGCTCCTGCTTGGAACCCTGGAGAGCAGTTGCTGCCGGTCAGTGTCAGCAACGTCAAGCTAAAGGGATTAATGGCCCGACTCAATAAAAAAGTAGCTTGCTTGTGTTGCTAAGGCCAGCTCCTTGTCTCCAAAGCTGGTAAGGCCAGCCGACATGTGCTGGAGGTAGTCCTAGGACCACTATACTTGGTTTCCATCACCTGGTCTTCAGAGATTGTGTTCAGACAACAGGATAGTGCATAATCAAGGGTTGCATGTGGGTTGTTGTTGGAACATGGGCTATTGTTTTATCAGAGCTAGTCATACTAACAAGGCATGACTTGCTAACCACTCACAATCTGTGAAGGGTACCCATATTTTGGTACTGGGTTGTGCACTGTAGGTTGTCCAGCACTGTAGGTTTGTTATCTTGGCTCGGTTCAGACAACATGAAAATGCATGTTTCAGTGACAACTTCATTCAATCCTGAGTGTGGGTTAACAAATTGAACTAAAAAAAGATGAGCTTTTAAATCGGTACATAAAATTCAAAGATAAATTGAGCAATTAGAAAAAAACTATTAGCAATTAGACAGTAAACTCAATCCCAGTAGTGAACATAAAATTCAGTGACTTCTTTGTTCCTTTATTCTCATTCATGATTTTGTTAAAACATGGAACTTCATGCTGGTTGCGCTCCGGAAGTCTGCCTGTGGATTCAGGTGTTCCCTAGATTTTTTCTTGATTCACAAAAGAGAACTGACTCCAAATGCAAACAAAATAATAAATAATTTTATTACTGGGATAATTTTTGGCAAAAAATGCCGAGACTCACCAGTTTTGACACAGGCTTCCTGTTTGTTGCACCCCCTGAAATGCCATCTTGCACTGCCAGACGGTCCCGGCACCCCATGTTGCCTTCATACTGTGTGCGTGTGCGTGCGTGCGCACCTGTGTGCGCAATTTCTGCTGTTTCCTCTCTTGCTGCAGTCAGTGCCATGCCTTGTGGCAAATGTCTGAAGAAGTGCTGCATTTAGCTCCTTTGGAGCCTGTTGCTGCTGACAGGTCAATGGATTTCTCTGGTTCTGATGCTATTTAATTAATTAGGCTATTTATATCTTGCTTTTGATCAAATTATCCTTAAGCCAACTTGCAGTACAGATGGTAATACATGCACAGATACGTGTTTTCAGAGAAAACAATCCACACTTTCCACTGTGGACCTAATTGGCTATTCATGGCTTCTGTTAAGGATCCCTTAGCTTAAACGACAGAATCTCAACCTTTTTATTCATCTGGAATCTGCTCTAGGTTCCTGATCTTTTAAGGGTACAATCCTATGCATGTTCATGCCTGAAAAGTACTACAACTCTCCCCGCATTTAGCTAGTGAATGCTAGGAATTGTAGGGGGATTTACTTGTTTGAATATGATAGGATTGTACCCTTAGTCTACAGCTCTTCTTGTAGCAGGATTATCTGCATAGCACCTTTGGGCATTCCTGCTCCATGAGTAGAAAGTGAACACTCATCAGGATCCACAAGTGGGAGGCAGTCTGCGCTCAGGTGGATCATACCGCATTTGATTATTCTTGGCTTGAAGAGAAGCAGAAAGAGAGGATCAGCGGTGTAGCAGAGCCAGGGCTTGCAAGGATGTGCTGTCTGTACTTTTTATTAGCAGGAAAGCTGACATCATTTGCTGCCTCCATCTGTACAGCCACCGCAGTGTCCCGTTCCCTCTGAGATTAGCTGGGTTGTATTCCTCAGCTGTGGAGAAGGAATGAATTTTCCCAGCAATAATATAGTATTGCCCCCTATTGTAGTACAAAGCATTTTGGGGAGGCTAGGTCATGAAATGGGAATTAAGATCCCTTCCGTTAATAAACGAGAACACCCAAATCCTAACGGATAAAAATTCCTAGACCTAGTTTGCTGATATGGATCATCACAACTTCCTTGGGAGTGTGGCTGTGGGGACTGCCATGGTGAAACCTTGCACCTCAAAATGTACCACTTCACTACTGGACAGGAGAGGGGTTGTTGAAGAGTGTCAGGGTCTGGGCTGCTTTGCTGGCAAGAACCAGAACAATTACCACCGTATTTGTAGGATCAGTCTGAAGCCCTCATTCTGATGAGCACCAGCTGGGAGTTGTGGGGGAAGAGCTATGTGAGAGCAAATGGGCCTCAGCAGCACAGGTCTTCCTGTAGTTGAAATGTCTGCACCTCGCCTGGCTGCCTCACACCTTGCCTTCTTCTCTCAGTAGCACAGGTCCTCCTGCTTGCTGCTGTGCCTTCATCCTACCTAACAGTTCCTCCTCTCAGTTCTTGTTCCTGGTTCCTGCTGTGCTCCTGCATCTTGTGTCTCCTGCCTTTCCATGTTGCCTGGCTGTTGTGCCTGACCTCTGTCATGCTTTGCCTGTTTATCCTGCTGTACCATGTTGGCTCAGTAATGCAGGGCTTCCTGCAAACCCTGGTTCAGGCCCTCCATCTTGCTTGACCCTTGCTGCATCTGGCTCTGACCATGTTCTGGTTCCTGCCTTACTGTCTCTTCTGCCCTGTTATCCTGTTCAAGGAATGTGCACCTCTGTTTGTGCTCCTGGTTCTTGACCTTGGCGTGTTCCTGACCATGTCCGTGTTCTGCCCTCATGCATACCGCTGATTCCTGACCTTGTGCTGTACCATGACTATGATTTGGACTTGCCATTAAACCCTCCTTTGGCCTCTGTTTTTCCTGAAGTTCTGTTGGCCCGATCCTGGTGCCTCTGTTGCTTTTGTCTTGCTTGGTCTCTAGCTGCCCACATCCAGAGTGCAGACCCTGACACGGAAAAGGAAAAGAGGAGAGAGCAAAGGCATGTCTTAGTTCCAGATTTATGCTGGTTCTTTCCCATGGAATGCTTTTTCCAAATGAAGCGGCAGCCCTGCTTGCTACTCAGGGAAGGTGGCATTCTAGGAGTAGAGTTTTGCTGTATGCTGCCTCCCTCGTTCTTTCCCCAGCCTGACTCTAAAACTGCTGATACTGCCGTACAGTAGGAATGTTTACCATCCATTTCGAACCTGTTTTGTGAACTTGGGCAATAACAGCACCTTTACTAGACTTCTAGGGGCCTGATAGAATAAGGCATGATTTCATGCATACATTTTCTGTTGTACAGACAGAATACCCTAATCAACATAGTTAAAATCATCATTCCTGTAAAGCCTGCAGCAGGTGGGGGGAATGTATACCCCTCCAAATGTTGGACTGTGTTTCAGCTAGCCAGTCAGAGGTGATGGATGATGGAAGCTGCATTCCAACAACATGAGCAAGCCACCTCTCCATGTTTATAACTGGGAATGGAAACTGGAGAACTGGAATGTGAGCTAAAAGGTGTTGGAGCATGATGTGGACATTGGCCTTTCAGCTTACCCTCTGGTCATTGGGCCATAAGCAGGCACTTCTCTAATCTGATCATTTGCATTCGCGTATTTACTTGGAAGGCCAGCATAATGTTTTGCGCAGCCACAGAAGTTAGAATCCTCCCCTTTAATCCAGTCCTTTGCAGGTTTAGCCAGTGTTTGGACGCAGAGGCAACTGCCCATTCAGCAGTATGAGAAGGTCAAAGGTGCCTTGATCCTCCCATGAAAAGTGCCTCAAGGCGAAAGTCTCCAACAAGAGCGTTTTCACATGGAAGTAAATGACTGTAAGCCCCATCCAAGGTGTATTTATTTTGAACCATGTCTTACTGCTTTTGAAGTGATATTGTTCTTTTCTTTTGCTGGCAAGAGATGCTCACATGCAGACTGCAGACATGACCATTCCACTCCGTGTACATGCATTAGAAATCGGTGGCAGTTTCTCAGCACACATCACAACATGATTTTCATGCTTTTTTTCTATGTGAGAAAAATGAGATTGATTAAGTAATGCGATTACTACTGCTATTTTGGTGTTAAATTGAATAGAATTTCTCCAGAGTTAGTGGCATGGGACTTACGGGGTTAGAACAAGACTTTTTGACAGCAAATCCTTAACATGATATGTATATTTGGTTGAAAGTATTTAGTCTACCTGGGTTTTTTGCCTTTGCTCTGTTACCAAACCATACCAAAGAAGGAAAACAGAATTAAGTAAGAAGCTTCTTCTGAAAAGGAGCAGAAGAGTTAATGATTTGCAAAGAATAAGAAGAGGCCATTCCAGCAAAAAGATTACCTTTAATGAATGTGCAACAAACCTTAAGGAAAAAACAGCAATTTTCAAGTTTCCAGATTGTATTAGATGCTTTACTGCCATGGAAATCAGAGTGAAGATTAGAATCCAGTCTACCCATTACACATTTCTGAAAATGTGTGGCATTTACAATGCGAAAACTGTAATACCTTTACAATATAACATCATGTAGCTGTGAATTATTAACATGCACTTGTTG